CATGCCAGCCAGCCCTGCCCCCTGGTAGGCTGAGCTGGACACACACACACACACACACACACACACACACACACACAATAAATAAATGTAAAAAAAAAAAAAAAACAAACAGATTAGGTAGAGGGCACAATTTAGTTCTCAGGGAAATGCTGCTGAGTTACCCGTTGGTGGCTCCAAATTTTTAGTAGGACAAAATATATTGGAGAAAAAAAACCCTATTATTTCCCTCCCAGCCACATCTTCAAAAAATAAGGCAAAAGATGAGCTGTTGTTGACAAATTATTCATTTTGAACTCACCTTTAGGAAACATGAAATGGATCTCCCTCTCTGCCGCAGCTAGGTCCTTACTCCCATGCAGTGCGTTCCTGAGGTCATCCGTGCCATAAATTGCTCTTAGACTAGAAGTGAGAAAAGGTGAGATCCCCACCCAACCCGGCATGCTTTTCTTTTGTATGAATTCATGCTTCGGAATTTTATACAAGCACTGTCACTTCTCACACACAGAGGAGTCAATCTATCTTTAATTTAAGCTGCCATGGAGAGAGCTAGATGAGGGTGAAATGCTTATCCCTCTGCAGGAGGGGTGACAGGAGTTCTTTAGCTGAAAGGGAGGTGGTGTTTTGTGAGACATGTAAAAGCAATTCATATTTGGGGCTGAGGACACAGCTCTGCAGCACAAGTGCCTGCCTGGCAAGTGCAAGGTCCTGAGTTTGATCCCTGGTACAAAATAAATAAATAAATAAATAAATAAATAAATAAATAAATAAATAAAATAAAAAATCAATGTCTTGTTTGTGTTTGTTTTTTTATGCGGTTGGTACAGGGCATCACTATACAGCTCCAGACTTATAGTGATCCTCCTGTTTTCAGCCTCCCCAGTGCTGGATTACAGGCATGGGCCATCACATCTGGAGTTAATGTCTTGTTTTCAGACATTAGTGGTCACACCAAAAATTTGGATTTCTACTCCTGCATTTCTAATATTCTTTTGAAGCACCATTCCAATTTTTTTTTTTTTTTTTTTTAATGGAACTGGGGGTTGAACTCAGGCCTTTCCACTTGCTAGGCAAGTGCTTATTCTACTGGGCTATCTTCCCAGCCCCTCACCATTCCAATTCAAACATTAAAAAAAAAAGTCTTTCCTCAGTGCCAGTTTAAATCAAGGAAAAGAATAAGGCTAATCAACAACAAATCAGACTGTCCCTGAGGACTGGTATTTGATATTAAGGCAGACACCAAAACAATTAAAAATATAAAAGTAACTCCCTCTAACCCAAAGAAAAGTGGATTTAAGAAAACTTCCAAGTGAAGTAAGGGTCAGCGGTATAGCTCAGCAGACTAAGCGCTTGCTTAGGTAAGCGCAGGAGCCAGGGTTTGATCCCTGGCTCCGCATGTCGCCGTGGGCCTGGCATGCTGCCCCGGGGCTGTGCCCATAATCCCAGCACTTGGGATGCAGAAATCAGGAGGATCACTACATATGTGGGCTGTGTAGTGAGAACCTGCACAAAAAAAAAAAAAAAAAAAGAAAAAGAAAAAGAAAAAAGAAAACCAAGTGAAGTAAAACAATCTTATGTTGAAATCAGATTTTTTTTTTTTCACAAATGAACTTAATTTCCCCAATCTAGAAAAGTTACCTGTCTGGGTGTGTCTCCTTAGCTACCAAACTATTACTTGGTCCCAAAAGTTCTTTCCAGTAAGAGATGGCGTTGTGTCTAGCTAATATCATGGCAACCAGTGGTCCAGAACTCATGTAAGCTGTTAAATTTGGGAAAAATATTTTCCCATACTGTTCCACATAAAAGTTACTGCAGTGCTCTGGGCTGAGATGTAGTTTTCTTCTCTATAAGAAAAACAAAGTCAACAAAAGCATTTAAAGCAACAGCTCAACAATTCCTCATTAAAGTCAGCAATAACTTGAAATTAGTACCAATTTGATGATATACAAGGTATATCTTTTACAAACATAAAAAAAGTTTTTTGTTTTTGTTTTTGCGGAACCGGGGATTGAACTCTGGCCCTTGCGCTTGCCAGGGAAGCACTTATTCCACTGAGCCATCTCCCCGGCCCCCTTTTTTTTTTGTTTTTGAGATGATGTCTCCCTGTATGGTTAAGACGGGCCTTGAATTTACCTGCGTTAGCTTCCAGGGCTGGGATTACAGGTGCACACCATCATACCTGGCTCAAAAGGAATTATTATTACTATTTTTAAATTTTATTGATTTGTGTGTGTGTGTGTGTGTGTGTGTGTGTGTGGAGCTCAGCCCACCAGGGGGCGGGGGGATTGAACCTCAGTCCCTGTGCTTTGCTAAGCTTGTTCTAAGTAGGTGCTTTAGACCACTGAGCCATCTCACCAGCCCAGAAAAGGAATTATTTCACCTAAAAGTGATTCCTATTTGCAGCCTTCCTTAGCATATGGCTTGCTAACAACAAATTCTCTTTATTATTATTTTTTTTTCTTTACTAGTACTGGGGCTTGAACTCAGGACCTTGAATGTGCTAAGCAAGCACTGTAGCACTAAGCTATAGTTCATTTTATTATTATTATTATTTTTTTTTTTGAGGCAATGTCTGGCTGAGTGGCCCAGGATGACCTCAATCTTGCAATTCTTTCTGCCTGAGCCTCTTAA